TTAAACTAGACAGTGAGATCCAGGGGCTTGATCAGAATAAAATTCTACATTCTGAGGTTAGTATTTCCTTACTCGTTTTGTGTTTCCTTCACTGTCTTTGAGTGTTCAACGTTCTTAGCAGCAACTGATCATATATATATCCCCTACAAAATTATAAATTCATCTTGTTTGCACTAAAACTTAACCTGCAAATACACACACTCACCCTAAACCCATTGCTACCAAGTTAATTCTGTCTCACAGTGATCCCAATGACCCAGAGGAACTGTCTCATAGGGCTTCCAACTCTGTGTAATATACATAAAGTAGATTGCTGATGAGTCTCCTCCAATCCTGCTGCCACATTCTTCCTCATAAAGTTTGGTGCCTCAGATTATTTCCTCAGCATATATATTGAATAAGTATAGTGGAAGGTTATAAACCTGAAGCACACCTTTCCTGATTTTAAATCATGCAGTAACTCCGTTTTGTTGGAATGAATGTTTCTTGATCTATGTAAGAGTTTTCCATGATATATAATCAAAATAGTGTTCCTTCTGTGGTACAAGGGCAAGAAATTTCAGACACAATTCACAATATATATGTGGATACATATCTGCAATAGTTTTCACTCTCACTACTTAAGACTTTTACTCAAATACTAATACTGTTTTGATTGTAACCTATAACTTAAAATACAGTACAACAATTCATGGCTTTTAATGCATGCTACTTCCACAAAGTTCTTTTTTGTGATGTTCTACAGGCTTACATAATCACTGATGATTCAACTGCTTCACTGAGATATTATCGGGTGAAGGGGATGCAGGCTAAACAGTTGGTAGCTTGGTTTTTCTGAGTTTGTTTTCCTAAGCTAAGAGAGACTTTTTAAAGTCAGTAAGATCTAGAAATGTTGGAGAAGTTAGCCTATCATATGCCATTCTCTTATCACCTAATATAAATGATTCTCCCTCGATCCTAACAGGATTGACACACTGATTGCAGCAATGGGCATTGAAGAGCTTGGCCTAGGATCAGATATGGTTCTGATTCATTGTATTTTGGGGTTGTGAATAATAAGAGTAGACTCAACGGCACCTAATGACAAACTTTTCCATTTACTTCCCTCATTTTACTACTTCTTTCATTTATCCTATACACACTTCAATACTTTCCACCCGACTGTCTTTCCTTCTTTTTTCTAATTATTCCTCTAACATATTAGTATTGAAGAATTTATTCTCCAGTTCACTAACTCAAGCATGTTTAGCCACACAGGATTATATAACAAAACTGCTTTTAGGGTATTTGTTCTGGTAAATTTGTTGTTATTGTTGTTGTTATGTGCTGTCAAATTGCTTTCTACTCATAGCTACCCTATGTACAACAGCTCTCAACCCTGCTCTATCTTGAGCCAATTTCATTGTCTCCAACACACCTATGCCCATAACCTCAGTAACTGAGTCAATTCATCTCATCCAGGGACTTCTTCTCCTATACTGTTCCTCCACATTACAAGCATGAAGTCCTTCTCCAAGGGCTGGTTCCTCCTGGCAATATGCCCAAAGTATGTAAGATGGAGCTTCAAAATCTTTACCTTCAAAGAGCAGCTTGTTTCACCCTCTCCAAGAAAGACCTTTTTTTGTTCTCTTCCCCAGCACCACAACTCAAAGCTCAAAGGCATTGACTCTTACATCATCCATAGTCATTGTCCAGCTTTCTGATGCATAACAACTAAATCCAAAAACTATGGTCTGGATCAGGTGCATCTTAGTCTCTAGATTGACATCACTGCTCCTCAGGACTCTAGAGAGGTCACTGACAGCAGATTTTCCCAGTGCAATCACCTTTTGATTTCCTGACTGATAGTGTCAAGAGTGTTGACTGTGGAGCCAAGCAAGCTGTAACTGTTAATAACTTCAATCTCTTCTCTGTCTATGATAATGCTCCCAATTGGCCCAGTGGTGAGAATCTTAGTCTTCTTAATGTTGAGCATCAATCCATAAAGGCTGCAGTCCTTGACCTTCTGCAATAAGCACTCAGGTCCTCCTCAGTTTCAGGAAGTAAGGTTGGGTCATCTGCATAACATAGGTTGTTGATGAGTTTTCCTCCAATCCTGATGCCACCTTCCTCATCATAAAGCCCAGCCTTCGGAATGATCTGTTCTGCATATAGACTGAAAAGAAATGGAGACAATTTGTATCCCTGATACACTCCTTTCCTGATTTTGAGCCATGCAGTGTTTCCTTGTTCTGTTCTTCCTGGAGCAAGTATAGGTTTCACATAAGCACAAAAAAAATGCTTCTGGATTCCCCTTCTTCTCAAGGTTAGCCACAATTCATTGTGATCCACACAAATGGCTTTGCATAGTACATGAAACACAGACAGACATTCCTCTTGTAATCTATGCTGTCTGCCAAGATCCATCTGACATTGGCAATAATGTCTCTTGTGCGATGACCTCTTCCAAAGCCAGCTTGTATTTATGGTAGTTCCAGTAATTTCTGGATAATCTTCCACAGGACTTTGCTTGCGTGTGATATCAGTGATATTGTTCGATAATGTCCACACTCTTGTCAGGTCACCTTTGTTTGGAATATGGATCTCTTCCAATCAGTTGGCCAGGTAGCTATCCTCCAGAGCAGCTTGTAATTCAAAGGTCTTTCCAAGTCCCATTCATTGTGATTTATATGGCAGTATTTGGGAAGTTACAAATCCTTTTTCTAAAATTTCCTTCCACCTAGGATCCTGGATGTGACTTGAGTTTCACTAAGAAAGGAAGACCCTGACTATGGCAAAGGGCTTAAGCGTGTCAGAGATTGTGAGGATGGCACAAGATAACAACAGATACAATCAGTTATGAGAGAGCTCATTATTTCATCCATGGGGAGTTGTGTTCCTAACCCAAAGATCATACCTCTCTGATAGTTTAAACACCAGAGGCTCTGCAAGAGAAAGATGGGCAATCTCTTCTTGTACAACTTACAGCCTTGGAAAACTCAATGGACTGTTAGCAAAGAATTGGTTTCAGTTCGACAGCAATGAGACAGATTAAGTCAGACGTGAAGGAGCCCTGGCAGCCTAACACATAATGCACGAGGCTGCTAAACAAAGTTGATGATTTGAATCCATCCCCATCAGGAGACACAGTGGCACTTTCCTCCCTTAAGGATTTACAGTCTCAGAAACTAGATGGTAGGTCCTAGTAAGGCTCAACAGCATGAGGTTTTAAAAATCAGATGTTAAAAACCCAGCTGGCATGATGTGTTAAGGGAATGCTAACCATCAAGTGGTTCAAGTTCACCAGCTGCGCTTGAGTGAAAGATGAGAAGTCTCCTCTCATAAAGCCTCGGAGACATGATGACGGGCTGTCAGGAGTCAGAATCAAGTCAATGGCGGTGGATTTAGTTTGGGTTTTTAATCAGAAATATTTGCATATCATGCACAGGTAGGAAGTAAGGTAAAAAGGCTATCCTACTGCTATATTCTTAGGCAGGTGTGATTGATGATTTGTTTTTGGTGGGTTGTTGGGTTTTTTTTTAAGAAGAAAGTGTTAACAAAGAAGTCAGCATACAACTTGTTCTAAAAAGGAAAGCAATTTATCTTTGCTTAATTATTGTCATTATACTTTTTTAGATTATTAACATTGCTAAAATTATAATCTTCTAAATAAATACTAA